GCGGTTGGGACACGCACACCACGTGCGGTCTTTGGCTTTAAGCCAATTTCTCGACCGAACCTCTGATTTACTCAACAAATCCCACTTAACTTAACATAATACACTTAATAAGGGCTAAAGAAACAATAATCGTTCGGGATTTGTCGGAGTGAAATGGACGTTATGGGGTCTGGTCTTAAATATGACCTAACCGAACATAGCATGAATTTTCTCAGAATTTCTGAATTTAAATCGAAATCTTAACCTTATTAGGGCCTTACTAACCAGATTACAAGATGAGGAGGGAGTTACCTCGTTGAACGTTCGGCTAAAGATGCAAGGTAGGCGTGATTTCCTTAACTCCGTGCGCGTGCTTCGTCAATTGCCGTGCGTGCTGTAGGTATTACCGTGCGGAGGAGTGAATTTGGCCTTCTGAAAGCTTGCTGATGGTATGCAATATTTGGGAGGGAATATTCTGAGTATGACTTATAGGGAAAATGGGGAAAAATTCATCCCAACTCATGCTTTATATACTTAGGGCCGTGAAATGGTGATGACGTAGATGGGATGTGGCCATATCTATGCTTGACACTTGCTAGTTATTGGCATAATTAGTGATGACTAATCCTCCCCCTTAAGTTGACACGCGTGATAGATAAATGTGTGGAAGGAATTTCCTTAAGACTTAGGAAATTGAATACAATTTGGAACATATATATACCTATAGCTCACGGCTTTTAGGCAATTGATTGGAAAATAATTCCAAATCGTGCACGGCTTTAAGCCCTAGTAACATGATTAGTATTAATTAATCCTTTAAATTATGTTTAATTATTTAATTAAACATAATACTTAATTACCAAAATTATTCCGAACGTAAACGGTACGTCGAAAATAATTTTCGGTAATTTCGACTGAAAATATCGAATCCCAAAATTAATAAACGTTAACATTATTATATCGGAATTACAACATAATTTATACCGATAAAATATCGGGATATTACAATCCTCCCTCCTTACAAAATTTCCGTCCTCGAAAATTCAAAACGTAACTGATATACATGAACTATATACATAGAATAAGAAAAGGGTCAAATCTTTTTCACCCCATTATATATCTATTCTTTCTTTTTCACACCACCCCGTCAAATTTCTTCTTTTACACCCCAAAATTCACGAAATGCTATGCGATATTACACTCGCATGTCCAAATGAACCAGCGCATATCCAATCGGCCGCATAATTTCTGACTACGCGTAAACATTTCGCATTTTTTAATCGTATATCCATATCAAACGCATAATTTACAA